CTGGCCTTCGTGTCTTTCGCGCCAATGCCTACCTTCGTGCACTATTCGCTGTAGAGGCTGTAGATTGCGTTCGTATTAGACAGTGTACCAAAAAACGACAGTTTTACACCTGTCCTTCGTGTCGACGTCGGATTTGGAGCAACCGCCACTGCCAGCCGCTTCCTGTCGGCACAAACCTCTCGAGGATCGTGGGCCTGGCCCTCCGACGCGCGATTCCGGCGCGCACTTCACTAGAATCGTGGCCCTGGTCCCAGTAGGAGCGCTGCCGAAGGCCCACCGACGTCCAATTCCGGCACGCCGCTCACGAGGATCGTGTCCTGGCCCACCGGGGAGCGCTGCCGACGGCCCACCGATGAGCAATATCGGCGCACGCTTCACACGGATCGTAGACCTCGCCACATTTGGATCGCCGCCCGACGCTGAAGTTCGGCACACCTCTCACATGGATCGTGGCCCTGGCCCAATGTGGAGCGCTGCCGACGGCCCGCCGACGCCCAATGCCGGAACACCCCTCACGAGGATCTTGGCCCTCTGGTCCACTTGAGAGTGGGTTTTCATAAGGACGTCGTTCTGGTTTGATTCGGGAAAGCATTTTGGTTTTATTCGTTTCTGGCTCGTGATAGTTAGGAGGAGGAGGAGGAGGACGAGGAGGAGGAGGAGGAGGAGGCGGAGGAGTAGGGGGAGGAGGGGAGGAGGAGGGAGGAGGAGGAGGAGGAGCACAGAGGGAGGATGATGATGGAAAGGAGGAGGAGGGGGGAGGAGGAGGATGAGGAGGGAGGAAGAGGAGGAGGAGGAGGAGGAGAGTGAGGAGGAGGAGGACGGGGAGGAGGAGGGGAGAAGAAGCGGAGGGAGAGGAGGCGGAGGAGTAGGAGGAGGAGAAGTGAGGGGGGAGGAGGAGGAGTATGGGAGGAGGGAGGAGGAGGAGTGAAGGAGGGATGAGAGGAGGAGGAGGAGGGGAGGAGGAAGAGGAGGAGGAGGAGGATGGGGAGGAGGAGGAGGAGGAAGAGGAGGAGGAGGAGGAGGTGGGGGACGGGCAGGAAGAGGAGGAGGAGGAGGAGGAGGAGGAGGAGGAGGAAAAGGAAGGGGAGGAGGAGGAGGAGGGGGAGGAGGAGGTTGAGGATGAGGAAAGCGAGCAGGAAAAGAGGAACGCTGTTTTCTCGTTTTCCACAGTGGGCTTGCGAACCCCACCTTCGTGTACGATTGTGTCCATAGCCCCTGCATTGTTTTCTTACGAACGAACGGCGAAATTGTGGGTTTCCGAACCCCTCTTTCGTGTACTATTAGAATCAGTGGGCTTCCGAACCTCATCCTCGTGTACTATTAGCTCTATAGCCCCTGTATTGTTTTCCTATCAGCGAATGGCGAAATTGTGGGTTTCCGAACTCGTGCTTCGTGTACGATTAAACTCCGACTATTTTATTTTATTCTATTTGGTTTTAACTGACTGTGTGGAACCGAGCCCTTACCCTCACCCTTACCCTTACCCTTACCCTTACCCTTACCCTTACCCTTACCCTTACCCATTCCTTCGTAGTAGACACGAAGGTGAGGTTTGACCCTACTACTACTACTACTACTACTACCACTACTACTACTACTAATACTACTATTACTACTACTACTACTACTACTACTACTACTACTACTACTACTTCTACTACTACTACTACTACTACTACTACTGCTACTACTACTACTACTACTGCTACTACTTCTACTTCTAATTTTGCTCCCACTACTACCACTACTACCAATACCACTACTACTACTACTACTGCTACTACTGCTACTACTACTACTATTACTACTACTACTACTACTACTACTACTGCTGCTACTACGACTACTGCTGCTACTACGACTACTACTACTACGACGACAACTACTACTACTACGGCTACGGCTACGGCTACGGCTACGGCTACGGCTACTACTACTACTACTACTACTACTACTACTACTACTACCACTACCACTACTACTACTACTACTACTACTATACTACTACTACTGACTACTATTACTACTACGACTATTCCGACTCCCTACTCCCTACTACTACTACTACTACTAACTACTAATACTACTACGAACGACGACGACGGACGACGACGACGAACGCGACGACGACGACGACGCACGAACGACGACGACTCATACTACTACTACGACTACTAATCATACCACGAACGACTGCTACGACCTACTACTACTACTACTACTACTAACTACTACTACTACTCCTACGACGACACTACTACCCTACTTACTACTACTATACTACTACACTACTACTACGGCTACGGCTACGGCTACTATCACTACTACACCTACCTACTACTACTACTCCCTACTACTACGAACTACTACTACTACTACTACTACTACTACACTACTACTAATGGGACCACGACACTGCTACTAACTACTACTACAACTACTTACTACTACTACTACTACGACTTACTACTATTTCTAGTAAATACTACTACTATACTCC